TGTTCAGAGCCCGTGGCAAACAGCTTGGCCACTGTCACGGAGAACCCCTTCTCCCCTCCCCTCTTATAAAAAATAACAACTAGCAAACGACATCCGCTAAGCAGACCATTATGTTAATGGGATGCTAGACGTTCGCATGCTGGTCTGAAGGTCTCGGGTTTAAATCACCACCTTGGCTCCCAGGTAAACCGGCTAAAAATTGTATCAGCAAAACCATTAAATGAAGTTAAGCTGACCGGCATGGATGCAGTTAAGCGTCAGAGGCTGACAAGGGGAAAATCATGGATAACTCAAGCAGAAGACACAATGAGACGATTATACATGCCGAGGAACATTGGGCGAGGAGAGGAGTGGGTCAGAGTACTAGAGGAGAAGTTGACCTTTGTAGGGTCATGAGCACATAAGGCCGGGAGTGCAGAAAGTGGTCAGCGGGGTCTACTGAGGTGAAAGTTCAACAGTTGATACACGACAATTCTCGTCCTGATGATCTGATTATCTACACAGATGGTTCTGTATTAAGAGGGGAGAGAAGTGCTTGGCGTTTAGTAGCGAAAGCACAGCCTGACATATGATACCACGACATCTAGCATGAGAATGGATGTGGAGGCGGTCACTGCAGCTTGCCGGTGGCTCCAGAACAAGATACATACACATATTGTAATTGTAACGGACCCTGAAAGATGGTTGAAAAAAAAAGGTGAAGATAAGATTGCTTCGAGCAGAGTGGGACGATTTACTTGCAAGGTCACATGTAGTGAGGATACTTTGGATCTTTTCCCCCAGGTCATGCCTGCGTGGTGGGGAATGAACAGATAGACAGACTGGCTGGATCTGCAACGCTGGACGGTGAATTGATGCATGACAAAGCAGATGTGGTCAGAATCCTTTTGGAACAAGTAACGAAGTCAGAGGATAAACTAGATTATTATGGGCTGGGTGTGACCAGAGGGTTCACTAAGCACACTCAGAGGAAAGGCAAGACGGACATACAACCAGTCTACGACTGGCACCATTAGTATTGGAACTCTGTGCTAGCTGCTGAGGATGGTGACGGAGCGTGCATGGGAATGCTCTGAGTGCTGTGATGTAAATTTCTTTACTCAACTCAACTCTAGGCGCAATGTTCACTTGTCATCTGTAACTGTGACAATGTGAATCTGGCTAGCCCTACTCTTCCTATGGTTTAATATATTTTAATATATATACAATGAAACTACAACCATATATGTCAAGTATCGTGTGCCAGATACCAAACCAGCGTAAAAAGGGTAATTACTGCATCCAAGACCTTCTGCCAAGCAGGTATATCGGTGCTTTAATAATATCTTACCCCAGGTGAGGTCATAAGACAGTCCAACATTTTAGAGGGGGATAAGATTGGGTTTCCCGGCTTTCTTATGCTTTAAACGACCCCAAAACATATAGAACTGGCCCTGACCCCATCCCACCTACGTCCCACGAGACAGTGCAGCCTAGGTCCCACGAATGCATGTAGCGTAGGTCCCTCGACTGCATGCAGCCTATCTAGCACCCCCTGAAATATTAGACTGTCCCGTGACCTGATGATTTCCCTTGTTTGGGGCAGGATATTAATAAAGCACCGGTCTATCCCTTAGTGGAGGAGAGTGAGTGAACACAGCAACTAATTGGGAAAGAACTCTGATGTCAAATCAGTAGAGAACGACTGAAACATTTACTAATAAACTACCAATATTTATTTACTAGGACCTGTGCCGGATACTGGGAATTAAATGGTATGCCAGAAACACTGATTAGAGCTTTTGGAGAGAACTAAACAGTTTCAGTGGACCAGGGGATGAAAAATAAAAAAAAAAAAGCTGGCGTTGGATACGACACGCGTTGAAAAAACCTGAAAACAATATAAATAAAATGTATTTGCACTGGAACCTGCAGGAGCATAGAAATAAAGGTCGATCGAGAAGGGAGCTAGAGAAACAAAAATGAGGCAGAATATGGGATTAGCTGCATTCAGTGCTTAGGATAGAACGACTCGGCGTGAGTTGGCGGAGAGCCTATGCTCCAATGGGGGATAGAGGGCAGAAGAATAAGAAGACTAACACATCGCCGTCTTAACGGTATTATGGGCCCTCGGGAAAACCATTGTGCTGGGGCAATTATGGCAGCCCCTTACAAAAATAATATGTAAATTGATCGATAATATTAAACATATTTTTTTTTTGGACACTTCAAAAAAAAAAAAAAAAAACTGGTGTTAAAGAGAAAACACGGATTAGACGGCACGGTGTGAAATCACTACGAACTTCTTATCTGGCTAGTCACAGATCAGCTAGGGTCCCCTAGGCTTGGGGGGGGGGGGGGGTGTCCCTAGGCAAGTGCCCAGCAGGCCCATGGGTTAAGACGCCCTGGACTAACTGTATTTTTATCTTTTATTTTTTTCTTCAATATCCAGAAACCATGAGTTCTTAACCCTTTGGCTCGGTACTATGGATATGGCAACCCTTTGGCCTTGATAGGTACCGTAAATCTGGGAGAAATGTGGCTTTTCTGCCCACCCCCGGGAGTGAACCCGGACCACAAGGAGTTCGTCTGCCGTTCACCGCGATGTCAGGTTTAACCAACTACACTAGAGAACCGGGCAAGGACTAAATGCATAACGGCGCGAATCCAAGACCATATCTTAGGGTAGCTGCAGACACAGACCACCCTTTGCACAAAGCTCTGGTTGCAGTTAAGGGTCAGCGGCTGATAAGAGGGAGGTCATGGATGGCTCAGGCAGAAGACAGAATCAGACAGGTTTGCATCCTTGAGAACATTAGGTGAGGAGAGGAGTGGTTTAAAGTGCCATTGAACTGTCAGACTTGTGTAGAGTCATAATCACACTGAGCCGGGAATGCACAGACTGGCCAGCAAGTGCCAAAGAGGTGGAAATTCAGCAATTAATTTAAGATAATGCTCGCCCAGAAGACTTGATCATTTACACAGAGGGTTCAGTGTCAAGAGGCAAAAGAAGTGCTTGGGGTTTCTTAGCAAAAGTTATTGGTCGACGTTTGGTGCAGGAGAGCCTAGCATATGATACCACAACATCCAGCTTAAGAATGGAGGTGGAGGCAGTCACTGCAGCTTTCCGCTGGCTAGCGAACACGACACATACGCACACACACATCGTGATTGTAACTGACTTAGAAAGCATGCCGAGGAAGATCCGGACAGGCATGCTTCGTGCAGAGTGGCATACCTCGTTGCGGAGGACACGGGTGAGCAGTAATGTCTGGATTTTTTCACCAGGGAACGCCGGTGTGTTGGGAAATGAACAGGCGGACTGACTGGCTGGCTCTGCACAGCTTGGTGGAATACTGATGCATGATAAGGCAGACGTGGTTAGTGCCTTGTGGGAGAGCGCGTACAGTTCGGAGGAGGAGATGGATCACAACAGTCTGGTGAGATTGATGCAAAAAAAAGGGGGGGGGGGGTGGGTGACGAGAGGTTTTTGGCAGATGCTCGAGGCTCAGAGGAAAGGCAAGACGGACGTTTAATTAGAATGCTACTTGCACCGTTAGTATTGGAACTCTTCGCTGGCTGCTGAAGATGGGGACGGGGCGCTTATGGGAATGCACCGAGTACTGTGATGTCGGTTCTTGAATCCAATCCAATCAATCAAATCCAAGACCGTCTGCCAGGCAAGCATCTATTCACTGCGCCACGGCGGTGCCATTACTGGAAGAGAGTAAGTGAAACACAACAACGAACTAGGACAGAACTCGGCAACCCGTGTGTCCAGCCAGTAGGTAACCTTCACACGCCTAGCTGGCATCGACACACTGTAGTTCGACACTCGCTGCTATCTCGGTACAGCAATAGTTCACTAGAGTTGGATGCTTACATACACATTGTACGCGAGTTTTGATTTTGGCTGAGTCGAGTTGCATTTTCTTTCGAAATGTGTTTGCAGTCTTGTAAAGTTTGTGCTGGCGACAGGTATGCTATTTTTATTAATAAAAGTATGTGTTGTGTTAGCTGGGAATTAAATAAAGTCACGTAAGTAAAGAACATCTTTTGAACCATTGACACATCAGGGATAAGACGTCAGTGTCATAAAAGCATAAATAGCAGCCTAGCTTTAAACCACAACATGAAGACTCCCCCCACCCCCGCTTTTTAAAATCCGAATATTCCTCTTCTTAGCGTTCAAAGGCCATCAACTGCGACGGAAAGTTCTGGTTGTTTTTTCACCTATGAACTTTGGCCTAGTTCCAGAACTTGAGTTTTGCGTGCTCACTTAGTCTTGCCGCTCAGGCGGATGCACTCCGACTCAGAAGTAAACATCCTTACTAGTTAGTCGTCTTTTACAACGTGCTTGTTAGGGAACAGCGGGTGTACGCTCCAACCTCCCACCCCCACCCCTCTTTTCCCCTATCCAAATTGGGAACCGAGGCAACCACTGGAATTAAGGGGCGAATAATAATAATAATAATAATAATAATAATTATAATAACAGTATTAATAATTTCATCCTTTATCACATCTTATCGTGATCTTCTAGTACCTTGAGAAGTTCGTGTGAAGTATAAACAGCATGAGAGTACTCGTCGGTTTGATTCACATTCGACGATTCTTGTGGACTCTTATTTCCTCAGTCCATCGTTTTTATGGTCAGCATTTCTCTCCATTTCCGCTAGGTCTGTACATTAGCTCTGTGGCTAAGTCCATGTGAACGCTTCGTAATGCCGGGATGCCGGGTTCAATCCTAGCTGCCGGCCATGCGCCTTGCGTTGGTTTCTACAGTGGTGTCAAGAAAGCCGACCGTCCAGTAAGCAATGGCAAACTACGGGACGTAAAATTACCTAGAAAAATCACACAACAGCCAGGGGCTGTTGGGGTTGGTTCTGCAGCGTCCTGTAAGGATACACAACTAACCTTTGTACATTACTGCTCGTTGTATTCCATGTTACCAGGTTGCCATGAAAAGCAACGATAGCGAACCTTCTGTCGACAACTCAAAGACAAATAACATTAGCATGATGTCTGAACACACAGCCCTCATTAACACTAACGAAACTGGATTCCAGCACAGATTTGAAGCTATCTTTGAACAGCGTCTTCGCCCCTGTCTGACGGAGTTGATTGCTACTGCCATTTTTGTTTTTATTGGAACCACTGCGGCCTGTTCATCTATGACAGTTGACGGGGTTGCCTTAGCGCATGGTTTCACGATTGCATTGTTGATCATAGGAACAGGCTCGATAAGGTGAGGTTTGTAACTGAGAATGATTTTTCTCAGGTGCGTTGAATCTTCTTCTCTCCCTCCCTCTTCTCCTGACCCACTACCTCCTGTTTGCTGTGGTTGTTGCGTGAGTAGTAGTAGTAGTAAAAGTAGTAATAGTTGTAGTAGTAGTTCTTCTTCTTCTTCTTCTTCTTCTTCTTCTTCTTCTTCTTCTTCTTCTTCTTCTTCTTCTTCTTCTTCTTCTTCTTCTTCTTCTTCTTCTTCTTCTTCTTCTTCTTCCTCTTCTTCTTCTTCTTCTTCTTCTTCTTCTTCTTCTTCTTCTTCTTCTTCTTATTCTTCTTCTTCTTCTTCTTCTTCTTCTTCTTCTTCTTCTTCTTCTTCTTCTTCTTCTTCTTCTTCTTCTTCTTCTTCTTCTTCTTCTTCTTCTTCTTCTTCTTCTTCTTCTTCTTCTTCTTCCTCTTCCTCTTCTTCTTTCTTCTTCTTCTTCTTCTTCTTCTTCTTCTTCTTCTTCTTCTTCTTCTTCTTCTTCTTCTTCTTCTTCTTCTTCTTCTTCTTCTTCTTCCTCCTCTTCTTCTTCTTTTTCTTCTTTTTCTTCTTCTTCTTCTTCTTCTTCTTCTTCTTCTTCTTCTTCTTCTTCTTCTTCTTCTTCTTCTTCTTCTTCTTCTTCTTCTTCTTCTTCTTCTTCTTCTTCTTCTTCTTCCTCTTCTTCCTCTTCTTCTTTTTCTTCTTTTTCTTCTTCTTCTTCTTCTTCTTCTTCTTCTTCTTCTTCTTCTTCTTCTTCTTCTTCTTCTTCTTCTTCTTCTTCTTCTTCTTCTTCTTCTTCTTCTTCTCATTCTCATCATCCCCCTTCTCCTCTTGAATGGTTTCACTATTACAGAGGTTCTTAAACTGGGTGCCGCGAGTGTATGCAAAGTGTGCCGCAGCAATAATCAATAATTTGTCAAATTCTGCTTGGATCAGCGAAGACAGCTGTTCAGAACAGTAATACCGTGAAGGATGCCAAGAAGAATTCTGGATGACGGTGTATTCGGAAAACAATGCTATTGGCAAGGCATTCTCAACATACGCTAAAAAACACACACACACACACACACATACACACATACACACACATACACACACACACACACATACACACACAAAGATACAGGAGCAGACTTTATGGGTCAAGTGATTAGAGGGTAAAATTAACTTAACTTCCCATGTACATAAAGAAAATAATGAAAAATTCATCCAGAAGGAAATAATGAAAAATTTATCCAGAAGGAAATAATGAAAAATTCATCCAGAAGGAAATAATGAAAAATTCATCCAGAAGGAAATAATGAAAAATTCATCCAGAAGGAAATAATGAAAAATTCATCCAGTTTCATTCATTAAAGACAAATTAACATTAAATGTACACTTTTTGGGGGGTTCTTTTCCTAAGTATTCAAACCGCTTTAAAGATAGGTGTGCCGCGAATTTTTGTGTGTGTGTGGCCTGATAAGGGTGTCGCGGCGAAAAAATATGGAGAACCACTGCACTATTGCCTTGCTGACAAAAGGAACACTCCTTGTAGGGGAGGATTTATGAAAGAACTGTTTGTATGCATTGCTGAAAGCCGTGGTAAAGCAGTGGCTAGCAAGCTTGCTTGCTAGCTCGGTCAGTATGTTTTCGAATACCTCTAGATTCAGACTTTTTTTCAGGGCCTCAGTGTGGGGCGAAAGAATAGACCGGCTGCCTCCCTAACAAGTATGTCTTGAGTTAGGTGTTCCTTCAAAGTCGGAGTGCATCTGTCTCAGAGGCAAGGAACCGTCAGTCTGTCTGGATACATATAGGCGAGATCTGTTATACGGTTGTGCTCGCAACACTCAAGATCTAGAAGGAGACTAAAGTCCAGAAGTGGGCGAACAGCCAGAACTTTTCCCTGCAATTTACAGCCAGTGAACCAGAAGAGGAGGAATAGGATATCTTCAAAATGTGACCGAAAATGGTTGACGTGAGACTGACTACCTCATCCAATAGAAAACTAGCTTAACAAAATTTAGCTAGTATTTTCTTGTGTGCCTTCCCAGGCTCCATTAGGATGGGGGATTGAGGGCGGGGAGGGGTTGGGTGGAATAGACCAACTGGTCCTTAACTAACGTGCAGTAAAAGATAACTAATTAACCCCCCCCCCCTCTTTAAAGTCAGAGTGCACCTGCATGAGAGGCATGGAGTCAACGGCATGCATAAAAGTAAACTAGATAAGTAAAACTGATGTGCACCCAAAACTCAAGTTCTGAAACAATAAAGCCCATAAGTGGACGAACAACCAGAACTTTTTGTCGAAGTTTACAGCCGGTGAG